CACCCCACACCCACAGCCTCAGCTCCAGCACCTTTTCCAAGATATCACAAAGCAGGGCAGTAATTATTGTGTGATTGTATAACCCACATACACCTAGTGTGGTTATTGAATACTGCAAGTAGCACCTTAGACCACTGCAACAGTTAAGATCAAGAGACCTCTACAGCATGGGCTAGAAGAGAGCTGGCTTTTAGCTCAGAGGGTAGAGGCTCCTAGAGTCAGCTCCCCAGATCGCAGGTTCAAATCCACCTTGGTGGTGGTTACAATTGCACCTGGAATATTGTTTTCATATTTCCAGAAAGATGTTGTTTAATTGGTGGAAACTGAGAGCAGAGCAATAAAAAGGATCAGGGTACTAAACTTAAGAAGAAAGGTGAAAAAGATTAATATGGACAACTTGGCTAAAGGATAGCTAAGGTGATCCACAACCACTTATGCATATTTAGAGTGTAAACAGCAAGGAAGGAATTAGCTGGTCTAGGAAACAGCGATGGAATCTGGAGTAATGGAATGCAATTAATGGGAGGAGAAGGCATGTTCAGCCTGACCCAAACAGTGAGGAATACTGAGTTGTAGGAAGGCCACAGATTACTAGCAAATGCTTTAGAACACTCCTGCAAGAGCAGGGAGAGGAACCAACAGGAGAATTGACTAATGTTTTCTTTGTCGAACTCCCATGAATGTGAGTCGAGCAAGAGATGCACCAATGCTCACATTCTATTGCTCTGGTTTAACATGGTTCAGTATTTAAAGGCTGTGCAACATATAGACAGCATCATATGTGAGCCGGGGTCCAGTTTTTACATTGGCCATTTACATCGGCCAGATAGTATGGGATCTAGCAACTCTCATGTGGACGTGAACAGAGGGAGTCCTTGTTGTTCCCATGTGTGCACAGGTGTTTTACTTAATACTAGGCATGTGGGGGAAGTATTCCGATTGTCATGTCACATACTTTCCCCAGGACTAGGAGGGGACAGCAGAGCTGTTACTTATAATTTGTAAAGGGCCAGTGATATCCTGGGTATGAGTATGGGTCCCATACCATAGCGAAGGTCTCTGCAAAATAGCCATGTAATCTGGGAAAAAGTCTTTCTATCCAGTTAATATGAAACAACATCTAAAAGGAGCAGAGCCCTTTTGAGATTCTGGCATTACAATGTAAAGTGACCACAATTTTGTAATAACAGAATAATAGTTGAATCCTAAGGAAATATTAACTTGTTCCTATAGAGAGTGGTGATTTGATTAGGTAAAAACAGGTCATGGCTTACATCAATTCTATGCTGACCCAGTTCTCTTGCAGAATTGCTTATATTCTGACTACTCCAACTTAAATGAAAACTCAGACCCATTTTTCTTTGAAGGTCCTCAGGGGCTTGACAGACCTTGTTGTTAACATTGTAGCTATATTTTGCCCTTACTTGCACTAAATTGGAGGAAAGCCAGTAGGAAAAATCTTGGCTCCATTGCAATTAATGGCAAAATTTCCATCAACTTCAGTGGAACCAGGATTTCACTGAACAGTTATGAAATAAATTTTTGACCTTTTATGTTTCACCTTATGAAATATTATCAGCATTAGCCTTGCTTTGATCAGAGGACATGTAGCTGTGGTGCCAATGGAAATTTTATGAAAAATTACATCTCAATCCATGTGCTATTCTTTCATTTTTCAAGGATTTTGATTTCTTTTCAGACCCCTACAGAGTTTTCTGTAACTGATTTAGTGATATAAACAATGTTTTCATCCTAGTGGATTATGTCAAGAATTCATCTTTTTCCTCTTCATTATAACTTCATTATAACTATTGTTACATATTTGCAATGACCAGAAACAAGGATACTGAGTTGTATATGCAGAAAAAATAAGAATATGGTGGGGGAAGCATAAGCAACTATCAAGTCTGATCCTCTGAGCTCATGGAAAAGGTGAAAAGGATATTTGAGTGAAAACAGGAGGTACTGAGGTGTGAGCATGATGAGTTAGTCCCTCCAGAGAAGAAAAGCAACATCTTATGGTAGTATAATAATAATATTTAGCCAAAATTTATTGTCTAAACATTGTTGGGTCCTCATACAAACTAATGTATTTCAGCTCATGGAGCTTTTTATTTAAAGGACTCTATAAAAATAATAATAAATATACACAGAAAAAACTACAGCTTTAGGGGGAAAAAATGAGTAAGGAAAAGTTTTATTAAAGGTAGTAGCCCTTCAAGAAATAGTGTTTTAAAAACAACCACTATTTATAGCCTGATCTTACTCATTACATTGACAAAATTCCCATTAATTTTAATTGGAGTTATTCCTGAGAGATGCCTGCAAGATTGTGCCCTTCCTTATATTAAATAGCACATTATTAACATCTTTCAGTTACAGTAAAACCATCCTGCTGGTTACTAAAATCAAATAATGATCCATTCTCAGGATTACATCTAGGTATTTATACTGTGCTCTTAACTCTGTGACCTGAACATTTTTACACAATGAATTATGGTTTGGGATCCTGCTGAGCAAATTATCTACAAACTTGCTTTAAAATTGAAGTTGATTCAGTGCATCTGTTGGACAACATCTACTCGGGAGTCTCCTCTGGAGCCCAGGAAGAGTTTAAAGCTGCCCTTTCTTTGTGGAAAGCTTGTTGCCACAGGGGTGCATGTAGGTTACACTCCCATGTACTTGAAACATGTATTAAGCTGTGTATATGCCAATTTGGGGATTGGGGTTGGAATTTCTTTCTCTCACCAACAGAAATTGGTCATGTGCAAGATAATACCCCACTCACCTTGTCTCTCTAGTTTGATGATTTGTTTAGAACTTGTGCCAGACATTTGAGTGAGAAAAGTGATGGAAATTGGTTAGATGTGCCCTGAATGTTAGCTATTCCAATTGGATTTTTTTCTACTATAATGCAGAAAACCAAAAAAGAAATTGTACTATAATGCAGGCCCCCAGCCTGTTGTTTCATCCACCCCTATTCCTGTGAGTTGGATTGATTTTATGAGCCATATCACCAAAAAGGGGCATACAGCAGCTTGCAGAAAAAAATGGCAGGTGATCCTATCTCAGAGGGGTAGTCATGTTAGTGTGTATCTGTGAAAACAAGGAGGAATCCTGTGGCACTTTAAAGACATAGGGTATGTCTACACTACCCCGCTAGTTCGAACTAGCGGGGTAATGTAGGCATACTGCACTTGCAAATGAAGCCCGGGATTTGAATTTCCCGGGCTTTATTTGCATAAGCGGGGCGCCGCCATTTTTAAAACCCCGCTCGTTTGAACCCCGTGCAGCGCGGCTACATGGGGCACGAACTAGGTAGTTCGAACTAGGCTTCCTAGTTCGAACTACCGTTACTTCTCGTGAAATGAGGTGTACCGGTAGTTCGGAATAGGTGGAACGAGGTGTACCGGTAGTTCGGAATAGGAAGCCTAGTTCGAACTACCTAGTT